GTCATTCTGACCGCACGGGCGCCAGCCGCCGCTCATCGCGCAGACGCCGCTCAGATTCCGATCGCTTTCCCAGCGGGGTGGCAACAGCCACGGCTCGACTCACAAACCGCAACTACATCAACACGCAGCGGAACAGCAACGCCCGTCATGGCGAGCCTGCGTACGCGGTGCTGGTCGCCTCCGCCGCTGACCGTGCCCCCCCCCCCCCTCCCCTCCCCTCCGGAGCGTCACCCGTGCACTCCGCGGGCGGGTGACTCCACTCACCCGGCCGGGTAGGTGAGGCTGGAGGAGGACCGCAGTCCCTTGCCCTTCATGCTGAGGTGGCGGCTGCAGTAGCCACGACGCTGCGACTCCTTGTTGCAGCCCTCCTTGCTGCACAGCCGGCGCCATTGCTTGCCGTTGAACTTCTTGCGGATGCCGTTGGGGGTGGACACGACGTCACCCTTGTTGTATTTGTGCGGCGTGGCCGCGTTCGACCTGCCACCGAAACGGACACCACTGCGTCACCGACGGCCGCCGACGCCATGTTACCGGTGACAGCGGTGACAGCAGCCACACCGCTCTGCAGCCGCAGAACGTCACCACGATACACCCGATTGTTGTCCGGGGCGCCTCCCTTTCCATTTGAGGCCATCGCGGCCCATCAGCAGAGCGCGCCGTCGCAGGCGGACGGCGGCGTCGTCACGTCACGGCGGCGGCCCGTGGCCAGGCCACCGGCGTGACATCACCGTCCGGTCGTGAACGGCCGGCGGTGAGCTCACGGCCCGTCGGCGCGGCCGCAGGCGCCGCTCCCACCCGCGCCCTTCAGTCGGACGGCCGCTGCAACTCTAACACACGCCACGTAGTAAGACGGGACCGCGCCGGCATTGCGTCACCGTCACCACGTCACCACGGCGGTCGGTCCGGCTGTTGAGGAGGTATCGGCTGCCGGCTGACATGCTACAGCGGGCTACCAGGCAGCCGAGGACGCCCGAAACCGTGTGTCGGCTAGCTGTGTGTCGGATGGCCGTGTGTCAGCTGGCCGTGTGTCAGCTGGCCGTGTGTCGGCTGGCCGTGTGTCAGATGGCCGTGTGACGGCTGGCCGTATGTCAGTTGGCCGTGTGTTGGCTGGCGGTGTGTCGGCTGGCCAGATGTCAGCTGGCCATGTGTGAGCTGACCGTGCGTCAGCTGGCCATGTGTCGGCTGGCCGTGTGTCAGCTGGCCGTGTGTCAGCTGGCCGTGCATTAGCTGGCCGTGTGTCAGTTGGCCGTGTGTCGGCCGGCCGTGTGTCGGCCGGCCGTGTGTCGGCCGGCCGTGTGTCGGCCGGCCGTGTATTAGCTGGCCGTGTGTCAGTTGGCCGTGTGTCAGCTGGCCTGTTTCAGCTGGCCGTTTGTAAGCTGCCCGTGTGTCAGTTGGCTGTGTGTCAGCTGGACGTGTGTCAGCTGGTCATGTGTCGGCTGGCCGTGTGTCAGCTGGTCGGCAGTCCGCCCTGCCTCCGCTCAGCCGTCCTCGCGCCACGAATGTTCTCGGGTCCGTGAGTCCCGCCCGCAGCCGCGGTCCGCCTCGCCCACTGATAAGGCCGCTGGCCCGGCGCCGGCAGTAACTGTCTCCGCCCCAATGGGCCGCCCCGGCCGGCGTGGGCACCGGGTCCAGTGGGACGGGGCGGAGCGAGTCCAGACACGCTCCACACACCGGTCGGCGGGCCACCCGGCCGCGCCGGCGACGCGGGACCCCTGGCATGGCGTGATGGCAGCCCCGCCCCACCGCCACGGCACACACGTCACGTCACGTCAGCGTCACGGCATATATGTCCAGCGTGATCGCCACGGCATACACGGTCACGTCACGTAACGTCACGTCAGTGGCAGCAAATACTGCAACATGGCACCCCTGCCCCCACCCAGTGACGTGGTCCCGGTTGGGCAGCGCGCGCTGCGGCGGCCGCCGTAGTCACCTGGCTGGCAGGCAGTTCTCGGAAAGGGGTGGCACCGCGACGGGATCAGCCCGGCCGGAATGCAACCACCACGGACATATGACCCGGTCTCTAACGAAGCCGATAACGGGCAATCGGGCCTAATGAGAGCACACTATAAACAGCTTGCCTCGAGCGGGGTGCGCCGGGCCGGCGGCGTCCCTCCGCCGCCCACACTCCACAGAACTTGAGCCCCGCCTCTGACCACCTTCCTCCCCGTCAAAAGCAGGACGGCCAAGCTGGTCGCAGCGGCGCACACCACCGCCGGTCGCGCCGCCGCCCGCCTCAGTCACCGCCGTACGTGGGCGTGGCGGTCTGTGAGCGCGGCGTGCCCAGTCCGCCGTGCCCGGCCAGGCTGGCCGCGCCACCGCCCGCCTCAGTCACCGACGTACCTGGGTGTGGCGGTCTGCGAGCGCGGCGTGCCCAGGCCGCCGTGCTCGGCCAGGCTGGACGTGCTGCCGCGCGAGTGCATGCTGGAGCGCTTCACCTGGACCGAGGCGCCCAGCGAGCCAGGCGTCAAGCTGAGCGAGCGACCGCCGGGCGCCAGCCCTGCCGACGAGAAGGGCAGAGCGTCAGCACGTGGAGGGGGGGGGGGGGTGGCGCCGGCGGGAGGGGCGGAACACTTACTCGACGTCAGGTCACGCACACACCGCGCAGAGTCGGCGCCAACAGCGCCTGAAAGCGGACAGTATCAGGGGGCAAGTATGGACCGCGTCACGCACGCACACACACACACTCGCACACGCAGAATTAGGGGCGGTCCGATGCGACACAACCGGGTGTTTAGAGATGAGTTCGTCAACAGGGGTTCACCATTAAACCGTCATGGTAGCGCTGAAAAAGCGGGAAAGGGGTGGCACGCTGTTGGCATTGGTTTGCCATCACATGCCGCTGATAGTGCAATTAAATACTATTGTCATGTGATTTATAATATCTCCCGTGAATCACGTGTGACTGATTGCCTGCGAATTACTCCACTATCTGTGATAACAGTGGCGGGAACAGACAGAGCTGCCGTGCCACTGGAGCGCACCACAGGGCCCCGGTGTCGAGCAGACGGAGCTGCTGCGCCACTGGAGTGCACCACAGGGCCCCGGTGTCGAGCAGACGGAGCTGCTGCGCCACTGGAGTGCACCACAGGGCCCCGGTGTCGAGCAGACGGAGCTGCTGCGCCACTGGAGCGCACCACAGGGCCCCGGTGTCGAGCAGACGGAGCTGCCGCGCCACTGGAGTGCACCACAGGGCCCCGGTGTCGAGCAGACGGAGCTGCCGCGCCACTGGAGTGCACCACAGGGCCCCGGTGTCGAGCAGACAGAGCTGCCGCGCCACTGGAGTGCACCACAGGGCCCCGGTGTCGAGCAGACGAAGCTGCTGCGCCACTGGAGTGCACCACAGGGCCCCGGTGTCGAGCAGACGGAGCTGCTGCGCCACTGGAGCGCACCACAGGGCCCCGGTGTCGAGCCATCGGGACCGCACTCGACGACACCAGCGCCAATCCGGCTCGGGCCGACGCCGGCCCGCGACAAAGGCCGCCGGCCGCCACCCCTCCCGGCGACAAAGCGCCGCTGTCAGCCGCAAATCCTCGGCGGCGATATAACGGCGTTGTCGGGCCGTCGGCGGCGTCAGAGGAGACGGCCAGGCGAACGGCCGTCTCCTCACCGCCGGAGCCGGGCCGGGCCGGGCCAGGCCCAGCCCGGCGGCGGCGGCGGCGGCGGCGGCGGCGGCGGCGGCGGCGGGGAACGGCCGTCTCCTCCCCGTCGAGCCGAGCCGAGCCGAGCCCGAGCCGAGCCCGAGCCGAGCCGCGCCGGGCCGCGCCGGGCCGCGCCCGGCCAGGTCGCGCCGGACCGGGACGCGTTGAGTCGTGCCGGGCCGGGACGTGTTGAGACGTGCCGGGCCGGGACGTGCCGAGACGTGCCGGGGCGGGCCGGGCCGGGCTCTGGCGGTGGGCGGGGAGTAGCCGCCGGAGGAAGCTGACCGCTCTCGCAGCGGCACCCTCCGCACGGCCGGGACATACACAGGTGGCCGTGCGTGATGACCGTGCGCGGTGACCGCAACCTTTGACCCGAGCGTCCGGTGGTGCCACGCGAGCAGACGATCGCCACACAGGCGGGCGCCGCCGCTCGTGGCGTCGCTCGGTGACTGGGGCGGCTATCGCTTCGCCAGCAGGAGCCCGAAGGCGGCGTGCGGAGTTGGTGGTAACACAGCGAGAGCGAAGCTGGGTCCCGGGCGGCAGTCGAGCACAGAGTTCGGCGACGACTGATGCCTGGTCACTGAACCCGGGGACCAATTTAGTCATGCTCCTAGTCATCTCAGACGTCTTACGACATCGTACAGAGACGCCTTAGGAGAACATCTTACACCAAAGTTGGCTGCTAGTAGCTTTTTCGCAGGCAAATCCTGATGTGAGCCAATAAAAGTGGAGCATAACTCAGATGTATCTGCCCCACCTCCACTCCGAACAAAGCCGGGTTTAGCGCCCCGCGATTCCCTTGCTTGGAATTCATCAGGTTGACCCGGACTAACGAGACACCATGCCCCGACCGCAGGGGGCGTGGCTCACAGGTCACCAGATCACTGATTCCATCGGACGGCCGACAGACAGCAGTGTCCGGCCGGGGCCCCGAGAACCCAAGCGCAGTTGGCGCCGAGCCTTTGTTCTCGACAGACGTGCGTCCTGCCGCCGCGCTGTTCCGAACCTGTGCCAAAAGTTACTCCGGCTCGATCTAACAGGCTAGGTGTCCCCCCTCCCAAAAAAACACACACACACGTAAATGGACGGGTGGCAGCGGGCGGCGGACCGGCCCACAGCAGACTGGCCCACAGCGGACCGGTGCACAGCAGACCGGCCCACAACAAACCGGCCCACAGCAGACTGGCCCACAGCGGACCGGTCCACAGCAGACCGGCCCACAACAAACCGGTCCACAGAAGACCGGCCTCAGCAGACCGACCCACAGCAGACCGGTCCATGGCGAGACCGGCCTACAGCAGGCCGGCCCACAGCAGACCGACCCACAGCAGACCGGCCCACAGCAGACCGGTCCATGGCGAGACCGGCCCACAGCAGACCGACCCCAGCAGACCGACCCACAGTAGACCGACCCACAGCAGACCGACCCACAGCAGACCGGTCCATGGCGAGACCGGCCTACAGCAGGCCGGCCCACAGTACACTGGTCCACAGTAGCAGGCTGACTCAGGCACTTGCAGATGGTAACGCTAGCAGACCAGGCCAGACAAATGTCCCTTAACACGTCGGGAAACGACATCACACGGTGAAAAACCGCACATCACCCGCCAGCATTCCAAAGGATCTATTTGCAAAAGCCCGTTGGTCGACGTCATGCCTTGACTTTTTACCGACGCAGCCAAACATTTACCGGGAGGAACGGTGCCACCCCTCGGCTGGTGCCGATGCCCCTGACATGAAACGTCACGTTTCATAGCATTTGATATGAAACATGACGTTTCGTTTGACGTGACGACACGTGACGTTGGCGTCCTCTGAAATGAAACAAGAAGTTTCAATTCAGAACCGTTCCAGGCGAAGCAGTGGGACGGGGACATGGCATAAAAAGCACTCCGTAATTGGGGCGTTTTTTAGACGGGTGGTTGATCACCGCTCTGTTCACAACACGTATACGCATGGCGTATGGCAGGAGTCATCACTTTGTTGCTCGGCATTTCACCCCGCGTCGGCAGATCTACAGCAAAGGTCACCGCGCTTTGCGACGCCGTGCCCAAGCATAACTCCGTCCTGAATGCCTGAGGTCACCGCTGTCGCCTGTCGCGTACTGGCGGACCGGGCGCCCGCGCGACGGGGCGCGCCCGTCGCCTCCCACCCGCTCCGCGGCCGAGCCGTCCGCTGCAGAGGTCAGCAGGCCGCGCTGGTTCGCCGAGCAGCCGCCGGCCGCGGCGGCGCTGGCGTCGCCGCCACTACCGCCACCTGCGCGCCGCCCCCGGCCCGGCCTCTGGCGCCTGCCCGTCTCACGCGCTCGCCTCGTACGCCAGCGCGCCGCTCAAGGTCACCCCAGTCAATGGATTTACGCGCGGCGTACAGTCTCTAGAAACGGCCGGCGATTGAGCGCAGCGCCCCTGGTGGCCGCCGCTGGAAGCTGGCGCTGGGATCGATGGACGGCGGCGGCGGCCGGCGCGAGCGGCCTGACGAACAAGGTAAATGGAGAGGAAGGAAGCCATATTGGCCCGAACCCTGCGCCCGAAACTGCAAGCAGAGGAGAGAGAGTGCGTCCTGTGGTCAGAGGACTGGCAAACCCCGAGCCGAGGCCAGCAGAGCAGCTGGGCTGGTTCGATCGTCCCACGTTTGACGGACAAAGGTGGACGGCGACGACCGTGCCCCGGCGGAAATGCTGACCAGAAGCCGCTGCGCAAGCGAGCCATTAGGGAAATGGCGCGGCGCGAGACCGCGGCCGAGCACGGGCCAGACACACACCATTAGCCCAGATATACCGTTGCTCCAGATTTACAACAAAAATCATTGGCCCGGCCGCTGGTTATGGCACGCTACTGGGCCGCTCCGATGAGGTGCTATCAGCCGACTATTTACGGGCGGATGTTAATGTCGTGCTTGTCAGCGCGGTCGTCTCTTCGGCGGCTGTCGCCGGCGAGGCGCCTGATCGCGCCGTGCGCTGACCAGCTCCGTCGTCACCACCGGCACCTCACGCCACGTCACTTGAGGCGCGAGCGGAGATCGCTTCCGGCTGACCCTGCGTCATCGCGCGGGCTCCGCAGGGAGGCCGTTGCCTCCCATGCTGCCGACTTCGTCTGCCCGCCGGCGCCAAAATGGCCGCCTCGGCCAAAGGACAAGTTAGTGGTCACACCGCAGCGTGTTGTCGTGTGTGACCCATGCAGGCGTCGTTAAGAGCTCGGGCTGAATTCGAGCCGCCGCCGTTGCCCGGCGCCAGGATGATGGGTCACGCCTGCACAAGTACGACGGTCGGATCGGATTCTTGCCCGGTTAAGACACTGCAACACGCACGGGTCCGCGCGGTGCGCGGGTGGCGACCGACGGCACGCGCGTCTGTACAGATGCTGCTGACCCTACGCCCGGCCGTGGCAGGCGGACCGGTCCGAAGCCGACTCCCTTCGTGGACACTCGCAGTCGCTACAAACGCAGCCAACACTGCACGACTGCCACTCAGCTGCACGCTCTTTGAGGCTGGTGTACTGAAAAAGGCAGCAGGCCAGGCCACAGAATGGTTCGCCGAGATGACACGTCAAAGCACCGCACGGCCGCGGCCTCACGTGCTCCACCGCGGTGAGCCGCGCCACGACAGCCTCAGCCATGCAGTTTCATTTCATGGTAATGCCAGAGTAGCAGCCGGGTCCAGGTTTTCCCTGCCGCTTACACCAGCCGCACTGAGGACGTGATGAAATGAAGCCGCATCTGCCGACGCTTGATAGGTGCGGCGCAGTCAGCAGCGCGACAGGTGCGGCAACAGATGAAAGATGTGGCGCACAGCCAGAAGCATGACAGGGCGGCACAGTCGGCAGCGCGACAGGTGCGGCAACAGATGACAGATGTGGCGCAC